TGGTCATAGATTCCGACGGGATCAGAAACCAAGATTGACTGTGCTGGCGAAACCAGAAACTTTTTACTCAACCGACCTACCGTCGAACCGACTGAGGACCAGCAACAATTTACATGAAACGATTATTTCTTCCCATAACCTTTTGTCTTTAATTTCCTTCCATTTAATCCTAGGTCTGTCAAGGGCTCTCTTTCTTTCAGATTTAGCGACTAAAAATGTTCGTTTTCGTCATCTCTTCCATTTATTCCATATTCCTCGGCGATGTCTTTACCGTCGATTTAACATTCATTTCCCATTTAACGACCGCCTCTGTGGTCTAGTGGTCAGAGTTCCTGGCTACAGATCCAGAGGTCCCGGTTTCAATTTCCGGCGCTACCAGATTTTCTGAGAAGTAGTGGCTCTGGAACGGAGTCCACTCAGCATCATGAGGATAATCGAGGAGCTATTTCAAGGAAGTAGCGGCTCCGGTCTAGAAAACCGAAATTAAGGCCGTGGGAATCCGTTGGGCTGACCACGCGACACCCTCTATCCGTTAAAGTTGGCACTAACTTTGCCGACAAGCGGCGGTCGCTCGGTCGGTATAGTTCGCTTGCGGACTACAGGTCACGCAGATTTTTTTTTTCCCATTTAACTCCTAAACATCTCTTTGACAAGCTTCCATCTTTTTGTTGGTTCTTGGTACTCTGTCAACTGCGTACTATATTTAGTGGCGGTCGAGATAATGGTATATGTGGGGAATTGAGAGGACAAAGGCGGAAGTAATGTTGTCTGTTTGAAATCAATATCCTACAGGCGTCAGAATTTGGTATTTCATGAATGTTAGCCAGCCGAGTGACCACTGAGGCAGCCTGCTGGATTATCAGCGTGTTTCGAAATTTTCCAGGTTACAATATGGGCGTGACTCGATTCTGCGAAGGTGACTGCGTAGACAATAGGCTTTATCTATTCTGGGACCGCCGCCTCCATCAGTTTATTCAGTAGTTACCTGGCTGATCCTTTTCTCTGAGAGTTAGGGGACCGAAGCTCGAATCTCACTAATCACATCTGGCAGGGGTGGACAGTTGTTTTGGCCCGCATGCCATATCACAGATATAGGTAAACTTTAGGGGCCACATGTCTTTGTCTTTATAAAATTATAATTACTCTATTTATGCCTCCAAATTTACAGAGGAAATGAAGTGAACGTGAATGGTTAGTGAAAAATATTTCATCTATGAAGAACAGAGCATAAGAGTGTTCTTTACCTTAGCGGAATTTAATCTTACCTAACAAAAAAAAACTCCCTGGCCTGTAGTCCGCAAGGTGCGTGGGCCCTAGGGCAGGTCTGGACGAGATGGAGAAGTGAAAATCCTTGACCACACCGGCGCTCGAACTCCGACTCCTCGGTCGTCAAGTCCTCAGTCAGTCCCTATACCGACTGCGCTATCTCGATTCTCAAAGCCAAGACAAAGAGCTGATAAATTATTTAGTTCCCCGCGTTTCATAATACCTGTATTTGTTTTATTATCAGTGACTGTAACATTTGCAATCCCAACGGAAACTTTCTCTTTGGTTTTGTTCCCGAAAGCAGACACGAAAAGGCTGTGTTCTGTTTTCATTAAATTATGTACATTCTTATATTCACAGAGAAATTCTATTTCGAATTAGTACAGCGTGACTTATAATGTATGACTTAATTAGTACTGAACATCTTCTAATTGTCTCAATTTATCGATATAAAGTTTATAAAATTTAAATACAGGTCTGATAAATTACTTATTCTGCTTTGAGCATCCGGACCATAGATAAAGATCAATATAAGGGAATATTCAAATTGCAGAAAAATTAGAAACCTGGATAGCGCAGTTGGTATAGAGACTGGCTACGGGCTTGACGACCGAGAGGTCGGAGTTCGAGTACCAGTAGCGTCAAGAATTTTCTGCATGTCGTCTATAATGGCTGTGGGCCCCACGCAGCATCCAATACAATGAGTACCGGGGTTTCTTTCGACGGGGGTAAAGTGGCAGGGGCGTGAAGCTGACCGCTCCCCTCCAACTAGTGCAGAGGTCAAGAAAATGTGGATCTGAACATCCATAACCCCCCACACCTTCATGGAGTAGTCCTTAATCAGTTAAGCACAGAGACAACCTTATCTGTTTATAAGGGAATATTACTTGCGTAACATTATAAATGCCGGTCACGGTATGCGAGCGGTCTAAAGCATGTACTGTTTTCGCTCGCTCGGAAGCTCGGAACATGGATGTTTGGTATGTGTATGCGTTTATTCTGTGTTTGTGTTGTCCTGTGTTTAGGTAGAGGCCTTGTGACGAGCTGATCACTCGTCCAAGGAGTTCTCCAGTCCGTAAAAATGATCATGAAACTGAAAATCAAAACCCAGGGCCCAAGGGGGCTTTAGAGTCAGCGGGAGAAAATTGTAAATATCGTGGATCGTTGTTGAAAAAGCTGTGAAAGCCACAAATTAAACGTAAGTTATTTTTATACAGAAATTATAAGTAGAATGTAACACATTTACTTAACAACGAAGTGTTTTAGAATACAATAATTTTTCAAATGAACAGACATGAAGTACCAAAATAAACTTTTAAACTGACTTCAGAGTTATGATTTATTTAAATATTTTAATTTGAAATTCATTATTGATTAGCTTTCAGATCATTGCAATCTAAATCACGTAGTGGGACGAGGCCACTGTATATACCAGTGCAGTATTCTAGTAATGATCTGGTAGAGACGAGGAAAGTCACGAACTACCCCAATCAGATTTTCCAGTGCGTCGGCCTGACTTGCCGTTAGAATGTTGTTTATTAATTTGTCAGTTGTGTGAAGTGTGCGTGTTATGTACTGCACCCAGTTTCGAAGTCAAATGGGTATCACTCCAACTTCGTACTGAATAGCTTCTGGGTTCAAATCCTAGTCAGGGGACAGGCTTATCATGACTAAGGTTTTCACAGAATTCTTAATTTCTTCCACGTATATATCATCGAAGCTCTTTTCATTGCATCGTTAAGTAAATAAACAAGAAATTATGGGATGAAATGATTGCCTGCTACCTCAGTCGGTATAGCGACGGGCTACGGGCTGGACGGTCTGGGTTCGATTCCCGGCAGTGCAAGATTTTCTGTTCTCCACAGCGTTCAGACCGGCTCTGGGGCCAAACCAGTTTCCTGTCCAGTGGGTACCAGGTGCTCCTTCCCCAGGGCTAAAGCGGCAGGGGCGTGAAGCTGACCATTCACGTCCATCTAGTGCCAAGGTCAAGAATGGTAGATCTATACCTCCACTTCCCCATGTGTCTTCATGGCATAATGCTTAACTAAGCACAGGGGTTACTTTAGCTTTTTTTTTTACTAATAGATTGCTTTTCTTTGATACAACACGGACCGCAAAGAAAATGATGCATCCAAAAATTTTTCTATTTTTGCTTGTGTATTCGTTTCCGCGGTAACATTTTTGTAGAGCCGTTACCTTGTAACGACAGGAAGGATACACATACAGACACGCCGACTGATGGGACGGATTTATGAAGTACGCTGTTGAGATGGGTTCAGGTGCCGTCATAAATATACCAAATTTAATGAAAATTGGTACAGGCAAACAAAAGTTGATGGGTGGGGGGAGGGGATTCGCAGACAGCCACATTCTCACGCTGGTTTCTTGCTCGCGGACTTTTTCCTTCTACCCTGAAGATGGAGGCGATACGTTCCCCCGAAACGTCGGTTTATACACTAACTACATTGCGTCACATCCCAGAAGACAGCATTATTCATAGTCACCGCCGGGAAAACCTCAAATGTTACAATGTAATAAGTTGTAAGATTTGAGGCTTTCACGGCGGTGACTATGAAGAAAGCAGTCTTCTGGGATTTGGCACCGTGTATATGTGGTGTTAACCGACGTTTCGGAGGAACGTATCGCCTCCATCTTCAGGGTAGAAGAAAAAATATATAAATCTGCAAGCAAGGAGACCGTGCTTTTACCGGTTCTCACGGTCTCTTTGCTTGCAGATTTCTTATATATTTTTTCTTTACCCTGAAGATGGAGGCGATACGTTCCTCCGAAACGTCGGTTAACACCACATATACACGGTGCCAAATCCCAGAAGACTGCTTTCTTCAATGTAATATGTTATATACTTCGTACAAAACATTCCTAAAATAAAAGAGAATTTCCATAAGAGTCTCGTCCTAAATATGTAAGCTTGGTTGCTCAGAATTGCGTGCGGAGTAAAGTTGAGGAAGATTTCAAGAGGGAAGACGAAACCTTAGAATTAAATAAATGGGATTAAGCTTGTATTGCGGATATCCAACTCTGGTTCTCTCATTGCGAACACAAAGGCAGCAGGTGTAAGGAAGGCTGAGAAATTCTTCTTACCAGGACACGGACATTACTCAACAGATGAAATTGTACACCTGAAAAGCCATGGAAATTTCAACGGAATTTACGCTTGTAGTTTCTGTATGTTTTTTGCTTTTAACATGAATATATTTTCGCGAAATATGATGGCCAGGTTTTCATTTGTTTCTTAACTTTCGCGAAAACAAAATTAATTATCATGTTTACAGTTTTGCATTCGGAAACTGATGAACGCTATCATGGTCTCAACTTTTGTTCCTGCAGATTTTGAGCAGATCTGAATAATGGCACAGAAAATATTCCCTAATAGAAATATTCTAATTTCTGGGATACAACGTCATGTAGTCAGAAACATAATCAGAATTATGCTAGTGTTTTTCCCTTTTCGTAAATTCCCATGGTAGCCATGTTGGTGTACTTGATAGTAGGGCGTTAAAAATAGGATAAATGGACCTTTACAAGTTATGAAGCTCCTCATTATGCAGTTTTCTCCAACCTCCTGTCACTTCCGGTCCAAATATTCTCCTCAACACTGTTCTCAGACACCGTCCGTCTATGTTCCTCCACCGACTGTGTATAGGATCAAGAAATAAGGCCCAACAAAGGGCTGTAGAGACACAATAATAATAATTCTATATTAAGGCACTCACCTGAGGTATGCAGAAGAGAAGAGCAAAGACCCAGGCTGTCCAGACCATAGCCCGCGAGCGTCGAGACGTCCAAGAGCAGTAAGCTAGAGGGTGGCATACGGCTTGGTAGCGATCCAGCGCTGTAGCCATGAGAATATAGGCGCTGAGGTAGGGCCCAAGCGTCTGGCCGTACTTGATAAGCTTGCAGAGAAGTGGTCCTCCGTAGAACCTGTAGGTAACGTCCCAGGCGAGCTGAGGCAGGACGGATAGGAAAGCCGTGAAGAGATCGGCGATACTTAGATGCAGAATGAAATAGTACATCCGGGAGAGCTTCTTCCTCGGCCTAGCAGAGAGGGCTAGAAGGACGGCCGTGTTGCCCAGCACGGTGACGGTGAACATGATGGACAGTGTTGCAACCTCGGCCTTCGCAAGTGATTCATCTCGGTCCAAGTCACTCGTGCTGTTCTCTGTAGTCATGTTCCAGCCTCCTGACGCTTCAGTCACAAACATTTCCATCGTCAGCATCCCTTTTGGCTCGCAACCGAAGTTTAAGTAACGGAAGCCATCTTTTCAAAACAGTTAGTATATTTCTTTATCGTGTGTAAACGTTTTCATCCTTCTGATTTCTTTTTAACGTTCTGAGTTTTTTATTTTTTTTTAGTTCGCTTAGTTGGGTGGAGTCCAAGTTGGTCCACTCGGCCCGGCGGCCACTGATTGACCTTAGCCTGCCCCGTGTGATTATGATGATGGGGAATTTGGTGGAATGAAGATTGGCAGGGGAAACCGAAGTACTCGGAGAAAACCCTCCCCAGCTCCACTTTGTCCACCACAAATCCCACTTGACTAGACCCGGGATCGA